TTTTTTTTTTTTTTTTTTTTTTTTTTTTTTGGCAGCGCCAACGACATGCACAAGTTACGTCAGATTTTGAGCGCCTGACACAAAGCATTGTTATGTGTAGCTTTGCATAACCTAGCGCACCATACGTAGCCCATTTTTCTTCTTGCCACCCCTTTGCTTCTTGGAGCTGCTACATGACATACCAAATAATAATATTCATGCTGATTTGATGGCGCAATAGAAAATGCGAAAGAAAAAAACGCAGCAACTCGAAATGTTGTACGTTTTTCGCTGACGTTGTCTATTCTAGCCCGTTATGCACAAGCCTCTACCCACTACCTTTGCCCGCACCCTTTGCCTATCCCTATTGTTGCTTTAGCTTGCAGCTCCCAAGCGCAAATTGACATTTTTGTGCCTGTGGTTTTGGTTTCTTTCCCTAGCATATTTGGTTCTTTTTATTTTTTTTTTCAACCCTTTTTTTGCAATTTTTTGTTGCATACTTTTAAGCAGCTAGGACATAGGGCTAAACTTGGATATTACTTGCATTTTATAATGATAGACAGCGGAGCTGAAGGGGGCTCGAAACTTAGATAGTACTGCAAAAGAAAAAAAATGTATTGGAAAATTGCAAAATAAGTGCAATGATTTGGTTATGCCCTGTAAGGGATACAAGGGGTATAAGCGGAGCGTGGTTTCGTTAGAATGTAGGTTTAATATTCAGGTATAAAAAGAGCATATCTCTCGCGATTATGTCTCTAAATAAGTGAAGCTATTTAATTTCCTTAGTTCATAAATCAAAATATCTTATTTCTGTTCTGCCTCATTTTTTTCGACTTTATTTGGCAAAAATAATTTAGAGTCAAATTAGCAGGGTATTACGTCAGTTCTACCTTTCCATTAACAGTTTATTTTGTATTTATTTTTTTTTTTCTATTTTTGCTTCAAATTTTTTTGTGCCGCGTCATGACTGTGTTTCACTCTGAGCGCCAGTCAATCTGTCAGTCACGCAGTCTGTCAGCCATAATGAAGGCAATGCGATGCTGAAATACCAGCCAGTTTTATTCCACAGTTGTTGCCGTTGTTGTGTTGCTATCGCTGTCGCTGTTGTTGCTGTTGTTGCTGTGTTGCATGAATGCGTTTATGATAAGTTGATGTGGCAGCCGATTTTTCGCGTTGCAGCGTCAGCAAAAAAAAAAAATAATAAAAATGTTTTCCAATTAAAACCGAAAATGCCGTCTAAAATATAAAAATAGCTCTCGGACTCCCTTTTGCCCTGCTTCTACTCTTCTTCTTGCTCCAACTAATCGCTAGCAATAAATGTCGCAAAATGTACAAAATATGCTAAAAAATAAAGCTGGGAAACACATTCAACTTACCCCACTCAGCGTTTTCACATTGTGCAGTGCGTCCTGAGCTTTCAGTGCGGCGCGACGCGTATAAAATGTCACAAAGCAGCAGCCTGCAAGAGAAAGAAAGAGAGTGAGTGAGCGAAATATTGAGATTAGCATAAGGGTTAAATTGGAGTTTATTTTCAACGACGTCAGAAAAAGGTGGCGAAGAAATTATGAAAATTATTATTATTAGCAGGCAGGCAAAATGGCAGCAAGCGAACAGGAAGCAGCTGAAGGAGGTCGGTGAGAGGTGCGGGGGGCAGAGGGCGGACGGTTGGCACAAATGTGGCAACATGGCAACACTAAATTAAACATTATGACCAAAGCCTCGACCGTACCGCCCTCCCTCGCTCACCCAGCAACAAATCTGTAGCGGTGGAAGCGCCTGGTTTGGGGTGTGTGTGTGCGTTTGGATGGTGGGAGGGGGATTGAGGTTTGGGGCGAGTGTTTTAGGTGTTGAAGTTTATGTGGGGTTCGTTCCGGAATGCAAGCATATTTGAGCAGCCATGCGATACCTACTAGCCAAGCCACAATTTCTAACGCTAACAAACGCAACAATTAAAATATTTTTAGGGCTACAAAAAAAAATAAATAAAAAAAAAAAAAAAAAAAAAAAAAAATAAAAAAAAAAAAATAAAAAAAAAAAAAAAAAAAAAAAAAATTTGTTTTTATTGGCCCTAAAAACTCATGTATTTTTAAACTTTAAACAAATGCACACATAATTTTAATGGAAATTAATTTTTAATTTACAATTTAATTTAAAAAGCATTTTTAAATAAATTTCCTTTTACTAGGGGGAGCTTTAAATTTTAATATATTAATATATTCCCTTTTTTATTTTAAAAGCATTCTTTAATACATTTAGGTCATTAAGGCAAGTTATAAAAAAAAAAAGAAAAAAAAAAAGTTAAATAAATAAATAAATATATACATATATAAAACAATTTTATGTATTTCAAATTCTGTTAAATTTATTAAGGCTCGTTTTAAAAGCAGGCAACAAATTTTAATTAATTGTTGTTTATTTTTTAATTAAAGCCCGTTTTTCCATTGCCTTTTTATATGACACATTCACTATTCAGCTATAATTGAAAGTCAGTTAAAACTATGTCCACTTTTGTTTTCATTATTATTATTATTATTTTTTTTTTTTTTTTTTGCAATTCCCACCAAAATCTGTGGCCCAGACTATAGCAAAGTAAAATAAAACCCTAAGCGTCAGTTGAATTTCATTTCCGGCTCGCGCTTTCTCACACATACACATATTCCATTTTACGTAGCTTGTTTTCCAGCCACGCCCATAGCAGGCAACCTCCCAGCCAGCCCCTTTGTAATGGAGTCCATTTGAAATTCTGGCCGTCGGATTCTGGGATTTTGGCCTGGCCGCCAAACTGTGAATGGAAAACTTAATATGGCAATAGTTGCATAATGCAATTACCGGCCATATCGACTCGACGTTCGGCTTTACCCAAGCGTAATGCGTTGTGGTGGACATGGCTCGCACAGCCCTAACTCACTCTCTTTCTCTCTCTCTCTCTCACTCTCTATTTGCATGTGGGTGGGTATTTGTTGCAGCACACATTCACACACACACACATAGACACCTGCACCAACACTTCGGTAATTCAATCTGTCGCAGTTTTTATGCCGTCGCCGTCCTCGTTGTCGGCGCACACACGGCCGTTTTTCAGAATTTTTCACATATTCGCAAATATTTTCATTTCTCGTTTTGCGTTTTTTATATCCGGTGTAGGTTTAGAGAATGAGAAACAGAGAGAGGCAGAGCAAATGCCGACGCCAACGGCGCCGCAACGGATGTGTGAGAATTATGTGTTTTTTTTTTTCTTTTTCTTTTAACTGCACTGAAAGTTTAAAGCTTTTAAAGTGTGTGTAATGCAAATGCGAATTTCGTATTACAGCGATCTATTAAGCTTATGTATGAAAGCTTTTAAGAGCGCTTTACGAGATGCTGAAAATCTCTATCGTGCTATGTCATTAGTGATCTGCTTTGAAGCTTTATAAAACTTCAGACATGCTTATATACATATGTATGTATGTCAGCCCATCTTAGGAACTATAGCAAAGAAATATGCTCGAAGAAATGTAGTTTCGCAAAAGCTTTGTGAAAGCTTTTTTAAATACTGAATTATCAGGCCTTCTAAGATTTAGTTATAAATTCTATTTGTGTATTAAAAGTCAATACTAACAATAGAAGCCATCTAAATGAATGCTTGAAGAGCTTTTTACTTATTGTATTATCCGTCTTACTAGAATTTTGTTCTGTACATAACAAATGTATTTAAAGATTCAGTAGATCCTATCATTTCATTCAAGTCCACAAAACTTAAAGCTTAAAAGCTCACTTGATGATTAAATTGCCGGAAAAGCAACAAAACTAATTAAAAGTAAACTAACTCAAATAAACGCTTGGTATTTCTTCTGCTTTTTAATCTTTCAAGTTTTCTGCGCTAAATCAAACAAATATCGCATTTCACTTAGCTCCAAACGAAATGAAATCAAAGGCAACAGAAAAGTAGAGAGGTAAAAGAGGGAAAGAGAGAGAGATAGAGAGAGACGAAGAAATGTAACTTGTGCAATCGCAGATTAAATATCACTTAAAATTAAACTAGCGTTAAATGTAACAAATGAAAGAAAATCGAAACGATTTCCAAATGCAATAAAATATTGTGCAAGCGAAACCAAAGACGAAAACCAATCGCGCGATAACGAAGAAGCAGAGAAGACGAGGAAGACGACCGGCTGGCTACGCAAGTCAGCTAGAGCAGAGCAGAGAAGAGAGAAGAGAAGCGAAATCTCTCAATTCCCATTATGTGCATGTCAACTGCAGTTAGCATCAAAGCGCCAAAACAAGACGCAGGCAGTGCGAGGGAGAGCAGACGACGAAGAACCAGAAGAGGCAGAGAACAGTTGAGCTTTCGCTTGCTTGAGGGAACAATGCGATAAAGTAACAACAAAACCGGCGGCAGAAGCTGAAAACGACATCCAGTCACGTTTTTGGACAAAAACTTAATCCAGGGCCGAGTGTTAAGGGGGTGAGAAGTGGCAGGAGAAAAGGGAAGCGGGCGGGACGTGCGTGTGTATGTGAAAGTGGGTTGGATTGGATTTTAAGATGTGAAATCGAGAGCCGTCGCTGCCGCTTGGCCCAGACACACAACGTGCCAAAGTCCAGAAAAGGGGATATAGCAGGGATGGATATATACATAAAGGATGTGCCGGTCGCACACACGTAGACACCGAGAGACAGAGACAGAGCGAGACAGAGACTGGGACATGGACAGAGCCAACAGGAAACGAATTAATCGAAGTTAAATAAATCAATGTCATTAAACTTTGGTGCAGAGATTTACTAGCTGAGTTGGCATGCTCACTAAACAGAAAGAGAAGGAAGGCAACACACCCAACCAGCTGCACAATACACAACAACGACAACAACAGCAGCACCAAAAGGAGTAAAAGCTGCATCCAACTGCAATTGCAATCGAATTTAGTTTATGGGTCTCCTCTCTATGCTCTATGGTCTCTCTCCTGCTCTCGCCTTTCTCTCACTTCTTCTTCTTCTTCATACAGATAAAGCTCGACGTAGCGAAAGTGACAAACGTTTAGCAATAGTTCAGTGGGCGCCAAAAGTCATGACCAAAAACCACAAAAAGGCTGGAAGGATAAGTAACAGTGTATGGTATAGGGTGAGTAGTCGACTAGCAAATACCCTGTATATTCAAAAAAAAAAAAACATTTAAAGAAATATAGATACCAGCTTTATTCCTTAACTAATTATATATGTATATATATATATATATAATTTTACTTTTCCGATTTTTGCTTACTGTTCCATCACAGTCTACATTCCAAAAATTGACAGGGTATCCAAACACAAAACGGCTCTTTGAAATTGAAATGCTCTTTGAAAATTAAGTGAAATTTTATGCATTTTTCACGCTCCGCAAGCCGCTAAATAAAAATGTCAAGCACACAAAGTGGACGAGCATTAGGGGGGAGAGAGAGACAGAGAGAATTGAGAGGAAGACAGACACAAGACACAGCAAGGCGGATGAAGTCGGCAGATAAGTAAGTGCGTTTCTTTTTCTATTTTAGGTGACAGCGGACAGCTGGCCAAGCACAGTTAGACGCAGAGCTTGACACTGGCAGCCGCGTGAGTGTGAGGGTGAGTGAGATGGCGAGCTTTACAAAATGAAGTTCTCAAGCACAGTAGGCGGAATCGAAAAAAAAAGTTATCAAATGGCCAAGAAGCAGAGCATATTTTCTCACTGCGGCTGAATTATATTATTTCCTGCTTTTTTGTGTGATTTGGTCAGCATTATGGCCATAAATCAAATTTATAGAAAAAGATATTCAAGGACTGAATGTAGAGAGAGATAGTAAAAATCGCTTTAAAGGCTCAAGTGAAAAAAAAAAATTTGAGAATTTAATGTTGAAATAGTTTAAATATTTGATGTTACATAACAACCTATTTATATAATTTAATTTTACATTACATTACATTTACATTATTTATATAATTTAATTTATCACATTAAATATATATCCATCAATTAAAAGTCTTCCAAAATACATTAATTAATTACTGTAATTTCCTTTCGGCTTTCTAATTGAGTTAAATTCCCCAAAAAATTAAAGTTTAATTTATTTCCAATGTGCATAGTTTGTCATACATTGACTAATTTATGGCAGACCCTTTTTCAAAACGCCTCTCGACCCACTCGAGAAACTTTGCCTAAAAATCCACAACTTGTGAAGGTAGGCTCAAAGTAGAGAGAGAAAAGGCCCATCAAATTAAACGCTTTGGCCAAACAAAGCTGTAAAAGCGCTTTACACCTGAGCAAACAGTCAAGAGTGGCACATAGCAGTTAGTCTATCTCTTGCTCTCTCACTCTTCCAATAGCTGCGTTTACCGCAAGCGTTAATAAATTATGAGTGGAGAGCTTAAACCTTTGCCCAAGCGCACCCTTCGCGTTCGCTATCTCTCTCTAACGCACAGCGAGTGGAGAGGAACCACAGCATAACCGCAATAACAACACCCGCAAACAACATAGAAAATCCACTCGAAAAGTAACTGGCCGCTAACGAAATTTAGTGTGAAAGAAAAACAAGTTTTTAGCCAAAAGGCATTAGCCCAGAAATAATAAAAGCGGAGTCCAAACTTTTGCCCAAACGAAAAGGAAATTTCCTTTTTTTCCCCAGTTTGTTGTTGCTTTTTTTTTTTATTCTTTAGCGGGTGAGGTTATTTACGACTTTCTGGTTCAGAGGTCATCGTCGCGCTTAAAAGTGTCATTTCCCATTTTTGGTAGCTGCAGCACGGCCAAGTCCTCTGTCCTGGCTTTTTGGCTAAGCGTTTCGCCATCAAAATGCAACGGCAAAATCCAAATTTGAAGCCATTGGCAGCAGAGCAGGACTGAGAATGGATGGGGGGTCGGCGCATGGGAGGATGGGATAGGGGAACTGCACTGCCAACTTTTTGTCGCAGCACAAAGGACCAAGGTACGAAACTAAAACTGGCCAAAACTAGGTTACAAGTCAGGCTAAATGGAAATGTTGTAGCAGGAAGTTGAAGCCAAAATAAAACTGCACATGAAAAAAAGGAAACGACTAAACAACGAAACTTCTGCAAGCGGCAAAGAAATTACAAAAAACTGGTCCCCTTGGCTTACATAGATACCCTACTATAAACCAGCAGGAGGTATATTGATTATGATTTGGCTTAAATTGTTAAGGTCTTCAAATTAACTAGAAGAGGGTATATTGGTTATGATATAATGAATGCTAAGCTTGCTACGCCTATCTCATTAAAAATATAAATTAGGGCATCTCTAATTGGGAAATTGGCTTATTTCAAATAATCGAATTTTACTTTTATTTATTCTAAATTAATTGGGCATATCTGACTGGAAGTTGTTATAACTTAAATCTGAATTTTAAATTCCTTTTCGTTTTAAATATTTGTAAATAATACAGTCCGTTTTATCAACATCCATAAGATATTTTAACTAATTCTAATTTTTTATTTACTTATTTTTTTTTAATTTCCTAAAGTCTAATTATACAAATCCCAATTAGAATATACAGAGCATTTCATCTTCGTTGTAGCCGTTTCAATTTTCTCTCTTGCCTTTTTTCTTTTGGGTCAGCGCACGCCCCTTTCTCTAGTTTTGTTTGCTAGCATTTGACAGTTGCCTGGCATAAATAATAACTTTCAAATGCAATTTGTGTCGATTTGTGTTTGTGGCATGGCGCGCTGCTTTTAAGCTCAAGTGATAAACAGCAGGACATACACACACAGACAGACATACACACATATGTATGTAGGCAGGCACTTAGTCGAAAGCTTCTACTTCCATTCACACTCTCAATTCCAGTCGCTCTCGCGCTGTCTCATTGTCATAAATCATCAACACAACGCGCCACTTAAGTGCGTCCTAAAACTGTTTGCGCTTTTACTTTGTCACACACACACACACACACATACACATACAGACAAACACGATAGCCACGCCCATCGTTGACAAGCTGACCATGCACACGCCCACATTTCCAAGCAGCGGACGCCTGTCAAATGCAGCCCTAACAAAATGATATAGAGAGCTGGCATGTAAGAGAGAGAGAAAGAGAGAGAGAGAGAGAGTGGAACAGCTATAGAGGGAGAGAGAGAGAGAGAGAAGGCCGTCGAAGATATGATACAAAAGCAAATAAAAAGGACACAATAGGCGGTGTCTAAATAAACAAATGTATTTTATATATATATACATATATATATAAA